GCATCTACACCAATGGTTCGTTATGCTTGTAAGGATGGTGAATGGAGAAAAATCAACTTTGGAAAAAGAAAAGAAGACAAGCAAGGTGTTGGTATGTGGGTAGAATGGGGTGAGGAAATTGATGGCGATGCAACTGAAGAAGTACAAGTAGAAAATACGACCCCTGATGTGAAAATCAATACACAATCCACACTTGCACCCATAGGGTTACAATCCACTTGTTGCCTTAAAAATGGGCCATGTTATGCATGTTGGGTACTTTGGTAAAACAAAAACAAAACAAAAGATCATAGTCCCCCGATGACGCTATCTCGGTTGCCTAAACAAAAATGATCAAGTCCCTTAAAAATTTGCCAAAGATACTTAACACAATTGCTATCATGGTCTATACGATGACCCGCGCCTGTCCCGTTTAACATCGTAACACAAGGTTGTTCACCAAATGCAATGGTGAAATAACACTGTCAAAAGGGTTAAAAACATATAGGAAAGATCTTTGAGTAAAATAGGGTAGATAACTCTTAGTTACTTGATCAAATCTTGCAAAAACATCCTTGCTATTTTCAAACACACTTCACAACACAATTTCAAAACATTTTCCAAATCAAACTTTCAAAACATTGAAACATCTTTTCAAAAGACAAAACACCCTTGTATACATTCAAACAAGAATCATTACAAAGGTTTCCACAATGATGGCCTCTTTTCAAAACATCTTTCAAAACCACACACAAAGCACCATTTTAAACAATTGAAAAGCAAAAGCAAGTGATCTAAACAAGTAACTAAGAGCCCGTGGACAACCATGGATGAAAAGGGTGCTTGCACCTTCCCTTTTCATAATATACTCCCCGAACCCAAGAAAACATCTCAAAGGTCTTTCCTGTGCTTTTTAACCTTTCCTTAGGATAAACATCTCGAGGGACTACGATCTTTTTTATCGAAGTTCTTTGCTAAAATGCCCATATTCGAGGGACATGACTATTTTCCGAGGCAACAAGCGAGGTTACCATAGAGGTGCACATGTGTGAATAGTGTGTTGTATTTCATGCTTGGTTTAATCTTGAATTAGGGTTGTCTAGTTGTTGATTTTAAATCTTTCCATACACACCCTAATTACTAGCATTTTATATTAAAGCGGTAAGTTGCGGAAATTAAAATCCTAAGCTATTACATCATTAGGGGATGGGGGATACAAATGTACAAATGGGGGGTGAAAAGCAATAAAAGTCCTAATTATTACAACCATATTGAATAACAATGAAAGAAAATATATAGAAAATATAAAAAAAAAACAAAAAAAACGCAAAAGAGAAAAAAATAAATCTTTCGATTCATGCAGTATGTTCGAAGCATGCAGCCTTCGATTCATAGAGAAAAAACAAATCTTTCGATTCATGCAGCTTGTTCAAAGCATGCACCTTTCGATTCACACACCATTTTTCTTCTGTTTGGGACTGTAAAGCAATGTGTGTCGAAGCCTAAGGCTTTGTGTCGAACCATGCTGTAATTTCTCACTCCAACATTATTTTATGGTCTGTACAAGTTAGTTCTTAACATAATTGACAAAAAAGTAAAACCACAAAAGGGGGCTTCGAAAGAAATAACTATTACATGTTATCTTCGAAGATGAGTCATCAATGATGCTTGAAACGAAGGGTTTAAAGTCAAGAAGACTTACCTTGAAGATGGAATGTGTGTTTTGGACTTGAGTTGTTGCCTTCAAATTCTCTTGGGTTCGAAAGAAAAGAAAAGAGGTGTTGTGTTTTTTGGTTCTGGGTTCGAAATAAAAGAACAAAGGGTGTTGTGTTTTTTTTTTGATTATGGGTTTAAGAGTGATTTAAGGCTTCAACCTTTATGTTCTCTCCTATCTCTTTTTCTTCTCCTTTTTCTTTGCTCTAAAAGCCTCCCTTTTGTGTGTTGTGAAAACAGCTTATTTATAGAAGAGTCTTGCTGGAGTTTTTTCTTTTTTTGGGGGGGGGGGGGGGGGGGGAACCGAATAAAATTTGAACAATTTGGGTATTTTCTTTTCATAGGTTTCGAGGTGCAGCTCTTATATGCTAGTTTGGTGCAAATATAGGACTGGTTTAGGAGCAGCATAACAGGACTATTTTGCAGCAGTTTTGGAGTGTTGTGGCAGCTTGGTGCAAGGTTGTTTCATAGCAGTGCAACAGACTGTTTTTGACATGGTTTTGGGCTTTCATGTGGATAGTACAAAAAGCTTGGGCTTGGCAGCATATAGGACTTTGTTCAGCAA